AAGGTTAGAGAGGTCGTAGATCTTGAATGAGTTGGAAAATGATCCTGGAATAATATATATATATATATATATATATATATCTTCTGATAAGTTGGAGAGTAATTATACAATTATACATTCGTATTGTTTAAAATAGAGTCCAATAGTGTTATAAACACCTCGGAGAATTCCAGTAAGATATCTTCAATCATTTCTAAGATAAAACGGTCCAAAGCTTAATCTAACAATTTGACTATTTTACTGTAACGCGATTTGCACAGTTTTGCTGTTACACCGGATATATATATATATATATATATATATATATATATATATATATATTAGGTCATCCGCTAAGTTCTGTCCGAATTTTAACTTTTTGTTAAAATGAACGACATTTAAAGATTATTTTTTTAATGTCTAATGGAGCTGAACATTATTTTTATGTTTAGATGCATTTAAACTGATCAAATTTTATTTCAAAGAACAATAAAATTAAATTTTGTTTGATTAAAACCCTGCTAACATGGAAGTACCCAAGAATCATTTCAGGCACATAATGCTTTATGAGTTCAAGAAAGGAAACTCAGCAGCCGAAGCGGCTAGAAAGATTCGCTCAGTTTATGGAGAGGAATGTGTGAATGAAAGAACTTGCAGAAGATGGTTTGCAAAATTCAGAGGTGGAGATTTCACCTATGAAGATGAAGATCGAATCGGACGTCCAGTTGAGTTTGATGAAAAGCTTCTTGAAGCAGCCCTTGAAAAAATTCCTGCTTTATCAGTTGAGGAATTGGCAGTGGTTCTCAGTTCAAACCATACAACTGTTCATCGTCATCTTCAACAACTTGGAAAAGTTCCTAAACTTGGAAAATGGGTGCCTCGTGAATTGTCTGAAAACAACCTCAAATCCTGAGTTGACATCTGCTCTTCTCTCCATTTTCGCCAACTTGTTTCACCTTTTTTGGATAGACTTGTGACTGGCGACGAAAAATGGATCTTTTATCGAAATGTTAAGCATCATAGACAGTGACTTGGTAAAGGGGAAGGACCCCAGCCACAGCCGAGAAGGGAACTTCATGGGCAAAAAGTTCTTTCAATCTGGTGGGATCCCCAAGGAATAATCCACTTTGAATTCTTACCACCTAATGCAACAATTAATGCTCAAATATACTGTCAGCAATTAGTGCGTTTGAACCAAGCTTTGAGGAAAAAAGACCTGATGTTTCATCAGGACAAGCGCAACCCCACACAGCAAGAATCACGTTACAAAAATCGAAGAACTTGGTTGGGAGAAAATTCCTCATCCACCTTATTCTCCTGATCTTGCTCCTTCAGACTACCATTTGTTTAGTAGCTTACAGAATCATTTGGAAGAAGCAGTTTTTGTAAGACAGGAAGAGGTTAAAACTGTCATTTGTGAGTTCTTCGAATCAAAGCCAAAAGAATTTTACAGTAATGGAATTAGTAAGCTTGTAAATAGATGGAAGGAAGTCATAGATAATCAGGGAAAATACAATGTTGATTGAATCTGTAATTAAATGTAACATTTGATCACTTGTTTTCTTTATTCAAAACTCGGACAGAACTTATGGGATGACCTTATATATATATATATATATATATATATATATATATATATATATATATATATTTTTGAGTTGTGCTATATTTATGGGATAAAGTGCTCAATATCAGAGATTGAGCGTATGTAAATACAAAAGTGAACATTGAAGTCAACATTCAGAGACGACAGATTGTTTTATGCTAAACGCAATCATAAAACCACATGTGTTGGGTTTTTTCCTGACTATTTATATATAATTTATTTTACTTGTTTTTTTTTTAATTATTTTCATTTTATATATTTATATTTATACTTTTCGGTTTTCGATTTTTTAAGTAACGTAGTTAAAATTTTTTAGATGATTTCCGATCGTTTATGTAGTAGTTTGTTTTGATCTGAGAAGATAATTATTTTTTCGTCCAATATTTGGATTGATTGTTCTAGTCTAATCTAACGGTTATTTTGGCGGGTGTGGTTTGTTAATTATTTAATTTATTTATTTATTTGGATTGATTATTTTTATTGTTTTTGCTTATTAATTTTTATATTTATTTTTTTTTTCAGCCTATTCTGACGGTTATTGTGGTGGGAGTTATTTGTTAATTTTTTTATTATTTACTTGGATTAATTCATTTTACTTGTTTTTTCTTATTTATTTATTATTTTCGATTTTTAAGTAACGTAGTAAAAATTTGTTTTCGTGTCTGCATTTTGAGATGAGTTCTGATCGTTTATTTAGTAGTTTGTTTTTATTTGGGACGTTAATAGCTATTTTTCATCCAAGCAAAGTTTGTAGTTTTTTGATTGATTGTTGTAGGCTGGTGTTCTTTTCCTTATTTTCCATATTTTTGGTGTGATTTGTTTTTGTTTTTAATTTCCCAGATATACTTAGCGTATTTACTATTTTTGAAAAATGTTTTGTGTGCATAGTTTCTTTGCTTCCGGGGTCTTTCAGTGACTCCTATGTATATTTTTTCTTCAATATCTGGTGATTTTACCGCGGCTTGGTATATTACATTGCTTTGTAAGCAATTACCGTTTAAGAGACATTCGTTCTTTATTCTGCAGTTACATGTAGGTTTACTTTGTTCAGGTGATTTGTTGATGGTTTTCCTGTTGTACTTTTTTATTATTTATGCCATGTTCTCAGTGGAACTGTAGATGATTTTTACTGTGTTTTTGTTGAATATTTTGTGGGATGTGCTTGATTCGGTGAAGTGTCTTTTGTAAGAGTTAGATGAATATTTTTCCTACGTTTGTTTTTTCGTGTTTGCTGTACGGTGGGTTGAACCATATGATATTTCTCTCCTTGTTGGCATTTTTGTGCTCTGTGGTGAGTATGTGAGTGTTGCCGGGAATCCACTAACTTTTAGGGCTGTTTCGTAGTCTTTCTTAGCTTCGTTAAATAAAACATTCACAAAAGCATAAAAACAATAGAACACGACATCAACAGTCAGTCAGATATGTGCCATGCGTGATACACTCTTAGGCGATCATGTATCATTTGATACATGGCTGACGAGGCATATTTTTCCGCAGTAAGTTGCCATTTATTTCTGCGGTAGATTTATTGCCATCCAAGGCTATAGAACCCGGTCTGTCCTGCTATTTAACCATAGCTGGAAGAAGAGAATTCATGCCTTTCCCAAGCACGTAAGTGGATGTAATAGATTCGAATAGAATTTGAACGCGGCTCTCTTATTCCTCAATCCGAGCCGCTAAGGAAGCTAAAACAGTCGCCCACAAATTAGACCTAGACGGCCGAATAAGTTGTATCGGTAAGGCGCAGGCCTTTATCACACTAAAAAACCACAAATAAATAAATGAAGTAATTATAAGCACATTAACAAACCACTCACGCCATAATAACCGTTAGAATAGACTGAAAAAATAAATAAAAATTAATAAGCAAAAACAATAAAAATAATCAATCCAAATAAATAGAGTAAACAATAAATAAAATAACAAACCATTCCCACCCAAAATAACCGCTAGAGAAGGTTACAACAATCAATTTAAAAATTGGACGAAAAATAGCTATAATTACCTTCCCAGACGAAAACAAACTACTAAATAAACGATCAGAACTTATCTCAAAAAATTTTCTACATTACCTAAAACAGAAAAGAATAAATAAAATATATATATATAAGAATAAATAAAAAATATAAATAAATATATTTGTAAAACAACAATATCCATAAAGGCAACAGTTTTCGCCTTTAGATATTTAGGCAAGAAGGCGCGAAATGTAAATTGTGCAAAAGCTTAAATGTTGGTATAATAGCACACATTTCAGTAAACATACACCTCCGCTACTGAGACTTTCATGCAATATTTGCTACATTTTAGCAATCTTTTCCTTTCTTGCCGGTTGAGGATTACAAAATACATTTTGGTCGATTTTTCTGGCGGGTAACCATGATGCTATTAGCCCGTCTATCTATGTATATATCTGATGCTATATGCTTATATCGATATATTCATTATCTATCTACTTCTTACTTTGATGCCTATAAAAAGATTAGTAAACTTTTTTTAAGGTAGGTTCTTTCAATTTGATAATTATAGGAGCATCTCTTTTTTTCCCTCATAGTATTCAATATATACATTTTATTATATATCTATCCATCTATCTATTTGATATGCCAGACTTATTTACTTTTGTGAAAGCTATATTAAAACGAGTTTCCTTGTGCTGTTTTTTAATCTAATGGTGGGGCAGAGATAAAGCCAGAAAAATGGCTGACCTTCGACAATGGCGCGAAATACCACATTCATGTGAGAGAGCTAATGAGATCAAGAACCATAGAATATCTTGCTAGAGGAGGTCACTGTCTCAATCAGCTAAAATCAGTTTAATTGACATCTGCTATAACTAGTGGCGTCGTTGTGTTTCTATAGCAAATGCGACAATTTGTTTGGAAATAGCTTTTAATCAGTATCCTGCAGCAGTTCACTTGGGCGCCATTCCAGAAACAAACGGTCTGAATCCTTACAAAACCTGTTATCCTTGTCTACAGTTTGCCATAAGTAGACAGGAAAGGTCGAGGAATAAAAAATACCAATTCCAAAGACAACCGACGCGATGAAGTCATTTCCTGCTTCAGTTGGTATTTGAACGGTTGTGCTTGCTATAATGACCGCTGTTTCCTTCATAATCCACAGCGGATAAGCAAGGACAGATTATTTGCAGTATGTATATCGATAGCTGGTTGTCGTTTGACGTAAGTCACTTGCGGAATGTTGACAGGCTGGAGTCTGCATGGATTAATTGTAGCGAACACCCATGTCTTTCTGGTATGCAGAAACAGCTTGCTTGATTTGATAAGTGTGAGTCTCCTAAGATAAACGTTTAGATGCGCGTCAAATGATTACAACTATTAAAATAATTAGTGCGTGGCAAAATGATTCGTACTGGAAAGTTGATTTACCAGCTAGACTCACGTTCGAGGTAATGTGTTCGCGAAAAATTATATGCAGCTCATCCAAAAATACTGTCATGTTCGTTGAAACAAAGGATTATCTATCTATCTATCTAAATATCATTAATAATATCTATTTATCTATCCAAGTAAAATATTTTTATTATCATTCAATATATCGAAACGCCTATCTATCTATCTATCTATCTCTATACACACACACACACACATATATATATATATATATATGCTCCTGAAAATTTTATTTCGGTTATACACACACACACACACACACACACACACACACACACACACACACATACACATATATATATATATATATATATATATATATATATATATATATGCTGAAAAAAAGTTATTTCGGTGGAGCTCTCTGGGGAGGAAGTGTGGATTTGCAAATAGTGTCTATTAAGGCAAGACTCTTCGATAAATCGAGTTCTTTCAGTCACTGTGTGTTTATCTAAAAATAAATACGCTTAAATTCACCTTCATCCCTGCCGTGCACCAACGGCTTTGTGGTAGAATTCCAACTGATGACAATTTAGTCGGGTTTCGATCCTAGCTAGTGGCACGTCTAGCCACACTGATCTGTGATGCAACGAAACAGTCTGTCTGTGGATGACTATATATATATATATATATATATATATATATATATATATACTCTTCATACAACCCCAATTTAATATCATATGGTTAATGTCCGGGTTTAATTTTGTAAAACGATTTCCTTTTAAGACAAATACCTTCCACCCTCCCCTGACCACTGTCTCGTGCCTTTCGTCTGAATGAAACATTGAAATGGATAAATTCTGTATTGGTTTTTTGACTTTTTTTGTACCTTTCACGGTTAAGTTTCTAATTCCGACACGAACTCAGTCTATATACCGGGGTTGAATAAGACTGACGTATTTTATTTTTTCGCCAGTTAAAATAAGCTTATCCGGCAAAAGAGGTGATTTTGGATTTTATTGTGTAATAATCATTTTCTCTGTAATAATAAATACATTGAACTCTTTTCGTGAATCAGTTTTAATATTTTATATTACTAGGACGCACTTGAATTATATACCATCAGATTTATTACTTTTACTATATATATATATATATATATATATATATATATTATACTATTTACATTTTTATATATATATACTATTTACATTATTGTCCTCATCTTTGTTGCCTTTATTTCGCTCGCTGGGGTAGACTGTTTTAGTTCCTTAAGGGCACATGCCACAGTGGATAAAGGCGTTGGTTCGATTCAATGACAGGACCCAAAGTGTTGTGAGTTCAATACCTGGTTAAGGCAGTAGAGAACTTGGAGAGGTGAATTAAGAGCGAATATCTGATAACTGATATCCATTAGATATGGCACGTGGAACTAGAACAGTCTACCCCAGCGAGCTAAATAAAGGGTTCAGTTCGCTGTAATAAATATGGCAACAACGATGAGGACAATAGCCCGAATAATGTAAATAGTGTACATAATACCTCATCTCAGAAATACAGACAGATGTATTTTACTATATATATATATATATATATATATTATAATTCTATTTATTTGTCTGTCTACAAATCTTTGTTAATATCTATCTGCAAATCTGTTCACATGTATCTATCTATATACAAATATATCTTAGTGTCTAACTACCTATCCGTTTATCTGTCTACCTATCTACAAATCTTTGTTAATATCTATCTACAAATTTGTTCATATCTAACTAGCTAGTTATCTACAAATATGTTTATATCTATTTATCTATCTACAAATCCGTTACGCTGTATCTATCTATGTATCTACAAATCTGTTCATATCTATCTATGTATCTACAAATCTGTTCATATCTATCTATGTATCTACAAATCTGTTCATATCTATCTATGTATCTACAAATCTGTTCATATCTATCTATGTATCTACAAATCTGTTCATATCTATCTATGTATCTACAAATCTGTTCATATCTATCTATGTATCTACAAATCTGTTCATATCTATCTATGTATCTACAAATCTGTTCATATCTATCTACAAATCTGTTCATATCTATCTACAAATCTGTTCATATGTATCTACAAATCTGTTCATATGTATCTACAAATCTGTTCATATGTATCTACAAATCTGTTCATATGTATCTACAAATCTGTTCATATGTATCTACAAACCTGTTCATATGTATCTATCTGTTCATATGTATCTACAAATCTGTTCATATGTATCTATCTGTTCATATGTATCTACAAATCTGTTCATATGTATCTACAAATCTGTTCATATGTATCTACAAATCTGTTCATATGTATCTACAAATCTGTTCATATGTATCTACAAATCTGTTCATATGTATCTACAAATCTGTTCATATCTATCTACAAATCTGTTCATATCTATCTACAAATCTGTTCATATCTATCTACAAATCTGTTCATATCTATCTACAAATCTGTTCATATCTATCTACAAATCTGTTCATATCTATCTACAAATCTGTTCATATCTATCTACAAATCTGTTCATATCTATCTACAAATCTGTTCATATGTATCTACAAACCTGTTCATATGTATCTACAAATCTGTTCATATCTATCTACAAATCTGTTCATATCTATCTACAAATCTGTTCATATCTATCTATCTATCTACCTACCTACAAACCTGTTCATATCTATCTATCTATCTACCTACCTACCTACAAACCTGTTCATATCTATCATCTATCTATCTACCTACCTACAAACCTGTTCATATCTATCTATCTATCTATCTACCTACCTACAAACCTGTTCATATCTATCTATCTATCTATCTACCTACCTACAAACCTGTTCATATCTATCTATCTATCTATCTACCTACCTACAAACCTGTTCATATCTATCTATCTATCTATCTACCTACAAAACCTGTTCATATCTATCTATCTATCTATCTACCTACCTACAAACCTGTTCATATCTATCTATCTATCTATCTACCTACCTACAAACCTGTTCATATCTATCTTTCGATCTACAATCTGTTCATATCTACCTATCTACAAATATGTAGAACGCTCATACTGTCTCGCTAAATCCATTACTCGTACGCCTTCCTCATGATTTTTTTTTATATAATTTTCCATTTTACCTCAAGCGAAATCATACGTTCCGGCTTTTCACCACTGACCTCGACACTTACTTTCTTTGGACACACCGCGTCACTAAAGGAATTTTGCAAAATATTAACAAAAATGACACAACACAGCACAACAAAGATGCTTCCAGAGCGAGGTGAACACGGGTACTGCGAGTGGAAATACTCACGAATCTTAATGCTCACCGTACCAACTAGTGCATGCCTAAGTGAAACGGACTCGTTCCTCAATATTCAATTCATATCTTAAGGCAAAAATCGGCCGAACTTTAGTTCGTCTCTCAAAAACTCGATTGTCGGTATGCTCGTATTTCAAATCATTAATATATATATATATATATATATATATATATATATACATATATATATATAAAAGATTACTAAATATAAAATGGATTACTCTTTCAATGTTCTGTCTATGAATTTTTCCAATCGACTGTTTCATAGAAAATACCCAAAACTCCACCGAATTTCAAATTAATTTCTTCGTAGATTGTTTTAAAATTTAGATATTTATCAAAACTTAACCTCCAAAATATGCACGTTAAAGTAACGCGAACTGATAGCGTCTAAGAATTTGAATGAAACCTGTCGTGTAATTGATTGGGGTTGTTGTAACTTCTTCCTTTAATGTCGTTCTTATCATTCACCCCTTAGCCATCTATATCTAGAGACGAGACGCGTTAAATTTGAGCAACATCTAGCCGACACACTGGGGTTAAAAATAGGAAACTGAAATGATACATATGACACACTCATATCCTCTCTCCCACCTCATTCCCTCACTTCGTTAATTTTACGTATACTTGATGAGGTCCGTCAAAAACGTGTGAATTTCTTTTCATTTTTCATTTCAGCTTTTGGAAGTAAAGTCTGATGATCCAGAATCCTGTTAAAGGGGTTATGGTGAAATAGCTTATTACATGGAATCTTAACGTGATCTATCTTTTATTCAAACAAATATATATATATATATATATATATATATATATACTCTTTAGGTGTGTTATATCTATGGGATCAAGTGCTCAATATCAAAGATAGAGCGTTTGTAAATATAAAAGTGAACATTGAAGTCAACACTTAGAGGCGACAGGCTGTTTCATGCTAGACGCAATCATCAGGCCTGACGATAGCGTCTAGCATGAAACAGCCTGTCGTCTCTAAATATTGACTTCAATGTTCACTTTATATATATATATATATATATATATATATATATATATATATATATGGGTGTGTATGTTGGTGCGTGTTTGTATAGCGACAAATATACATGTTTCTCCTCTTCTATGATCTTTAATCCAAAGCTCGGTGGGGTAATGGATTGACGAATTGGAGAGCTGAGTTCGAATTCCAATCGAATCCATTACATTCACATACGTGCTAACACCCTTGGGAAAGGTATGAATCCTCTTCTTCGCCCCTCCTCCCCACCCCAGCAAAATAGCAGGACAGACCGGATGACAACTGGTCTACCGCAGAAAAATGGCAACCTACTGCAGGAAAAAAAACTGCCTCGTCAGTCATGAATCGAAAGATACATGATCGCATAAGCGTGTATCACGCATGGCACATAACTGATTGAATCTTCGTGATTTTTATTCTTTCCTCGCTCTTTCCGTCATTTTTTTTTGTTCCTTACTTTTTCCTTTCTTTCTTTCTTGATTGTATTTGCATCTCTTTTTTTCCTTCCTTTTCCTTACAGTCTCAAATTCGTTTTTATTCTTATTTGATTGTCTTTTTATTTCCTCCCCTTCTGCTACCAATTCTAATTTCTTTTTTTCTTTAGTTGTTTGTTTCTTTCTTATTTCTTTCCTTCGTCTTTCTTACTATCTTCCATTCGTTTTTATTCTTTTTTTCCATTCTTTTTTATTTATTTATTTCTCTCTTTCTTTCTCTTTCTTTCTTTTTTCTTACTTTCTTCTTTCTTTCTTTCCTTTTACGTGTTCTTTGTTTACTTCTTTCTTTCTTTCTTTCTTTTTTCTTTCTTTCTTCATTGATTGTATTTCTATGTTATTTACTTTCTTCGTCTTTCTTACGTTTTCTCTTTCGTTTTTATTCTTCTTTCATTCTCTTTTTATCTTCTTCCCATCTGATACCAATTCTAATTTCTTTCTTTCTTTCTTTCTTTCTTTCTTTCTTTCTTTCTTTAGTTGTTTGTTTCTTTCTTATTTACTTCTTTCTTCTTTTTTACTATCTTCCATTCGACTTTATTCTTATTTCATTTTTTTTTCCCCATCGGATACCAATCCTTATTTTTTCTTTCTTTCTTCATTTATTCGTCTTTCTTACTATCTTCCTTTAGTTTTTATTTTTATTTAATTCTTTTTTTTAATTTATTTTCCTTTGTCAATCCTGGTTCTATTTTTTATTTCTCTCTTTCTTTCTCTTTTTTTTTTCTTTCTTTCTTTCTTTCTTTCTTTTCTCTTACTTTCATCTTTACGTTTTTGTTTCTTTCCGTTTACGTGTTTATGTCTTTGTTTCTTTCTTTCTATTTTTCTTTTTCTTTCTTTCTCCATTGATTGTATTTCTATGTTATTTACTTTCTTCGTCTTTCTTACAATCTCGCTTCTTTCATTCTCTTTTTATCTCTGTTGTAATAGGATCCACCTAATTTGCATGGTGGAGTACCGACCATATAAATATGGTTGGTACCGGGAAGACGAGGAAGGAATCAAGAGATTCAATCCAGAGACTCTGCCCGACTGCGACTAAGTCAACACATTCTCCAGGAACGGTCTTCCCAAGAATATACAAAAGACTATATGTAAATATTGTGTACACTTTCTTGTTTCAATACATCTTGTTCTAAGTACATTTTGTGTTGTATTATTATTCCATGCATTAGTCAAGTTTCAACAATCACCTTCCATTCTGATACCAATTCTAATTTCTTTCTTTCTTTCTTTCGTTATTTGTTTGTTTCTTTTCTTCTTTCTTTCTTTTATCTTCTTCCCATCTGATACCAATTCTAATTTCTTTCTTTCTTTATTTGTTTGTTTCTTTTCTTCTTTCTTTCTTAACTTCAAAAATAATTCTATTATCCATCCCTCTGTATTTTATAATTGCAATCCAACAATGCTTCCATCTTTAATTGCAAATGTCTATTTTCACAGATAACATTCAGCTCGATACTGTTAACATTTCCAAGAGCGTCTTCAATTCTTTGTTTTGTTTTTCTCTTCTGACCAAACATGCAGTAACTGAATCAGTCAGCATCATTTTCAATTTTGGTAATGTTACGTAAATTTTCGATCATTTCTACATCTTTGAAACGCGAAGAAATAATGAGAAGTTCACTGACCAATCAAGATGGCCTTCTCCCACAACTATAAAAATCTGATGTTTGGTAATTTGATCATATTTGTAGTGGGGAGGGGTGCGAGATAAGAACTTTTCAGCACCATCTCGTAGTTATTATTCATTTCTAATGTGACATCCGTTTTTAAGAGAAAATTCCAGAAACCACACAAAGGAAGTTCATGATTAAATCCCGAACACTCTGGTAAATTAATCTGCAGCTATGACAAATATTGCAAGTCTGCGATGTATATATGTTTAGGGTACCGTTTATTGGCGAGGAATCTATAATCGGCATCAACGAGTCCCTATTGTTTTTACAGCATGAAGTCAAAATTGCTTTCACTTTCAGATTTTATTTTCAAATCATTCCACCCCGAGTAAGGCGGTTATACCATTAGTATGGATTGGGGTTAAAGTGAAAGAAAAGACTGAGTATAGGTAAGATTGAAGAAAGGACAAAAGATGAACTGGGTTCAAGAAGACAGAAGATAGCGATTGACATTGAATTTAAATTTTTGAAGATTATAGTTAACATGGAAACGAAAGGAGATCCACAGGCGGAAAGTGCGAGAAAAGAAACTGTTGGAGTAGAAGTGGCGGTTACATTTAACTATTTCAACAGTAAGAGGGTGGGACCTAGTTGCCAATCTAGTAGCATGCTTAAATCCATGCATTAGGGGCACCAGAGGGAAAATCTCGTCAGATCAGTTGCCATGAAAATATTTGTAGAACAGACAGAGGGAAACTACGTCACGTCGGTGAGAAAGTGACTGAAGTCGAGATGCCGGGTCAGGATCGACTATATTGCAGATCTTTATTTGGATTTTGTCAAGAATGTCTAGATGCACAGCAAGAGCACCAGATCAGATGTAGCAACAGTATTCAATGCACGGACGAATGGTAGACTTGTAAATGTGCAAGTTAGTTTCTGACGAGAAAAAACTTCTGGTACGACACAGTAACCCAACTTTCCTTGCAGTAGATGCAGCTATGGATTCGATATAATCGCCCTACTTCATGTCAGCGGAAAACGTGAGGCGAATATGGCATAGTTTGTTTCTCTCCTGGAGTTTAGCGCCATCTCTGCTGATGGCAGTCAGCAATGGTTCTCTTTTACTCACGTATTTGCGATCCTTTCCGACTCTTACATGTTTTAACCGATTAATGACATTTTTATTTTCGTAGCTTATAGATACAAAACTCTTCATAGCGCATGAGCTGTTTCAAGCAGCGTTATCATCTACACAATTTCCTCGGTTCAAGCCTCCTCCTGCTTTATATTAATGATCTGCCTAAGGGCATACGTTGATCACTTGTCATGCAGATGATACAACGGTGTATGAGCGTACTTTATAAATCTATTTGACCTGAGCCTAACAGCTGATCTTTCCTCTGACTTTAACGACAATCGAGGAAAGATTGGCTGGCTACATTCAAAAGTTCAAAAACCAAACTTGTAACGTTACATCATGATCAAGATGCCCATGAATTTCTATCAGTCTCGAAGAACGTGTGTTCTTTAAATGAGGACTAATTAATTAACTAATAATTTGTTTAATTTGTTTAGCGGCACATCAACACCCTTATGGGTCATTTAATGCTGACATTTAATTTTCTTGGGAGATTTGAAATAATAAAAATATGACATATGTTATTCTGCTTTCACAGTTGAGTACATGGTAGATGATACTCAGCTTTTGTGTATATACATGTTTCTGTCGGCATTACTAAAGGCGGTGTGTTTTATGGTGTAGTTTTGTTGAAGTTATATTTATTGAATACAGCAGGCTTTCTTTAAGATATTTTAGGATATTATATAGATTAATATCATGAAAGAGTTTTTTCATGTTGGTTGTTTGGTTAGTTGATTTTGTTTCGAGGCATATCAACACCTCTATGGGTTATTTAATGCCTACATCCAAATATTTTTACGAAGTTGTATGCCTTCAATTACAATAAGGTATTCGTGATCATTTTGGTATAAAATCTATTGTTCGTAATTTTACTATACTGTTGGTATTTTTTATATAAAAATGTATTTTCATACTTTCATAGTGTTTTGTTCACTATTTGCTTATAACTGAAAACCTAACATGTGCTACCGCCCCGGGTTAGGTTTGACTGGGAACAACAGTAATTAGTTACACGTTCCTCAAAACCTTCAATCTCCTGATTAGACGCCTTGCTGCCAGATGTAGTTTATCATCTTACCCAGGACTACTAAAAGAGCGCCCTTTGCTTTGAACGCCTAATGGGACTTAAGAACACCGTATGCCTCAAGTGAAACTTGCATATAGGATCCATCGCAAAAGATGCTGGAAAGATTGTAGCTTCCTTTGTAGTTCTTCAGTATTCTCCTACATTGCTCTAGCTTTACAAGAAATGGAGTACTGTTGCCATATCTGGGCTGAACCTACCCAGTCTCTCCTACCCAGTCTTGATCTTCCACTACCAAATTGTGGGTGCGGCTTTGAGTTGTTTTCCACCCTACCGCCGCTTTCCCACAGACAAAACGTTACAAGCCTCTCGATGCTCTATCGCTATGTCCATGGAAAATGTTCAGATGAGCTAGATTCCTTAATCTCCCTAATTCTAACCCTCCAAGCTAAGACCCACCACGCCGCGCACTTTGAAGCGGACCACCTTCATTCCTTTCGTATTCCTTTAGTAAGAAGTTGCTCTCGGAGAACTTTTGTCCAAAAACTGTTGCTTTGGGAAACAGGATCCCAAGAAGGTGCTTTACCGACCAATACAATTTTAACCTCGTCAAGTCTATTGCTTATCTTTCACATATATCCGCATAAACCTCACCCACTTCTTATAACGCTCATACGACAACCGCCTTCATTAACCAATACATCGAGTTACCTTTGACCCTTGTATCGAATGGGCGTTAGTAAAAAGAAAAGAAAAGAAAAAGGTATCCCTATTCATATAGTCACGAATGCGTCAACCACAGCAGGGACAATATGAGTTTGCTGCTTTTATTATGATATTGTTATTATCATTATTGTTATTATTTTAGTTCCTCTCCGACTCTGTCATATCGCAGCTCCTATTCGTGGTTTAGAAACACAATACTTTTCTCAGAATCGAAGCTATTACAAGCAGAACACGCGGATTAAGTGATATCAGGCGTCCCAGTAGCAAGACAGATTCTCGGTGCTAGTCTCGAGTGAGCCGACGAAAACAGGGGACACACGAGCTGCTACATAGTACATTTATCTGATATACCCTGCCAAGTTTTCAGTTAAATGCCATACGAGATACGCGCTAGGGCGATCATGTCTCTTTCGATTCATGACTGACTAGGAGATTTCCCGCAGTAGGCTGCCTTTTCTTTCTGCGGTAGACTGGTTGCCATCCAAGGTTATAGAACCCAGTTTGTCCTGCTATTTAACCCATAGCCAAGTCTTAGTATATTCGATGTTCTAATGTCAAGATACCTTAACGTCTAACATTATCCCTTCATCGCTGCTCTTGTGCACAAGTGTGATATCAGGGCGATTTCTCTCTAATCGCTTATCAGTCAAGATAGTTGTATTGTACATAAGTATCACTTGCTCATTCTCAGTTACTGATGGTGGTGAAAGCTCCTATGTGCTGTCGGTGCCATTCTTCCTGTACAGTCACCAATTTATTCTGAAGGATAATTTCCCATGGCGTTGCCTGTCCTCTTTTATCTAGATAACAATTT